TTTGAATTTCTAATGGTGAGGATATCTTTTCTAGTTTTCTAAGACTAGTCAATAGGAAAGTCCTATGGCTAGACCTAGGCTACTAAAGAAGTTTCTAGACCTCAACCAAAAGTGAGGTCAACACACTTATCAGAAAAAGTCATTTTAATTTCTAAAAATTTGAAATTATACTGGAGAGCAAAAAGAGACTAAGTTGTTATGATGGTTTACGTAGCGGTTTCTACTCAACATGTTAATCTTCTTTTACCATCATAGTAGTAGTGTCGGTTAATAAAAAATATGCTCTGATGTATGTTTGTCAGAATTTTTTGATCCATATTTGTTTCTCTTAAGAAGGGATCAACCAGACTTTCACATTACTCTTCTGTGCTGAAACATCTTATTTGGATCATTGACTTGAGGGGGGGACCAAATTGAACACGAGAAAATTCTAGTATTAAAATGAACATGTAAAGAACTTGGGGATCATTTTATTCATTTATTCTTATAATTTATGTCATACATATGATAGTCTATTGTATATGTAACAGCAGTAGTGCACAAAATCCTGTAATATCTGCAGACAGCTTAAATATTTGTATTGCCTTTTTGACAGGGTAAAAAGGAAAAAGTTCCTGCTCTCTCCATCACAGCTAATGGGAAAGGATATTATGCTGTTGATTTCCATGCTCAATTATCATCACTGCAGGCATTCTCGATTTGCATTGCAATTCTGCAAGGCTTCGAAGCTTCTTCAGCTATTGGCCAAGACAATGACAAGCATAAACCATACTCTAATTCGCTCAAGCTTCTACTTGAAGAAGAAGTTAGAGATATCATTGAAGCCGTTTCAGAGAAGAAACGACAAACAAACACACGAGTTAAGCAGGTCCCCCCATCTTTCTTCCTTGACTCTCCATTTTCTCCAATGGGACGGGTTTAGTTCACAATGAAGATTGTGAAATTCAGTTAAAATGAAGGCCTGGGTAACATCTAGCTAGCTGATGACAGCTCGGCAGAGAAAACTCTGTTTTTAAAAATCAATGAAACCAACAGCTGCAGTTTGAATCTTTTTAGGATTTCAGGTATACATTTCATTCTAACTATTGTATTGCATTATATTGTGAGCTTAGTCCTGTCTATAATGTTTTATAGTTTGAGAGAAATTTGGAGGGGAGTGTAGAAAATTTCACACTGATTATGTAGAACAATTAACCCAAGGTTTAGTTTGTGGCATTGTATTTTTAAGCATGAAGGCCAAGCAAATGAAATAACACGTTGCAGTTCTTTAATTATATTTGAGCTTGATTTCAGTCAAAATTATATTTACGCATGCATTTTGATTCCATTTGAAACTACTTTGATTCTGTTTACCCTTGGCTTAATTCCAATTTGATTTACACTGAATTTGCATCATTCATTACCTCATTGATTTTGTGTCAAGTTAGAATCAAGCTCAACAGTTTTTAGCTACGCTCCACATCCCTATAAAACTGACATCCCTAGTTGCATTTCACCGCTTATAAGAAACATTAGCTTGGACCTTGGCTTGATCTCCTCAATCACTTCTCTTATCCCGTTAACTAAATCCCATTTCTCTCCTGCTCAAATGCTTACCAAAAGCTTACACAATCCTGGAACAACACATCCTCTCTCAATCAACCAAGGCCCAATCACCTTCCCGATTTTCCCATCTCCCTGAATTCTGCAAGTTCCAAGGACTGCCCCTACCATGATGCTATTGGGCTCCAATGGCATCTCTTTCATAAACTTGAATGCTTCATGGATGCGACCAGCTCTCCCCATAAGATCAACCATGCTCGGTCAATGCTCCATTCTTGGTTTAATTCCAAGATGTGCATCATGCGGTCAAACAGCTTCCAGCTTTCATTTAGCATCCCCCAATGGCTACAACAAGTTAAACAGAATAAGAAAGCAGATATCATCTGGTTCCACGCCATGCTTCCTCATTTCCAGTCCATTAATCATACAATTCCACGAACCCACATTGCCTCTGTTTATCTCAATGAAAATACCAGAGGCAAAGAAGAGTTCCCCACACTTCTAATACATGCCAATAAGAAGCCCCTTAATGGAAACATCTATAGTAAATCCATTATTAATGATATGGCAATTGGATAGACTTTCCCAGCTGAAGTGCTGATAGATGATGAGTACAGGCTTGAACTGGTAGCAGTATGTATGGTTGGTATACTGTGTTTGAAGTCTTGAACAAATCATCTGGTGTAATAGATTGAGCAAGATCTTTTACACATTTTGCATACATATTCGTGACTGCAGTTGCAATGTCTGTGTACATTGATGCGCCGCCGTGGACGGATTCGCCGATTAGTGAACGTGCTTAGGTACAGATGGGAAGAACGATCTTGAATACCCAATTCAGTCCAAGGCACTTCCATTATTCTTCATCAAAGGGCAATGCTCCGGAGCTGCTGTAGGCTGGGCCGCATGCACCATAACCCAGGATCTTCAAATTCCAAGAGAGGATGTTTTTCTGGGGCGGGTAGAACAGTCGAACACCTGGCACGAGGCGGTAAAAACAGCAAAATTTAGTACGTGTCAATCAGCGAGTTCATGAGAGTGAGGTTTTGATCTTGGTACCGAGGCTGTGGATGGATTGGCGATCGTGGATGGCTGAGAGCTCTCCGCAAGCTTTGAGAAAGTAAACAATGGGAAGTTGGTTGATTCGGTGCTGGAGGCTTGAAGAAAATGGTAGAGGCTTAGGTCCATTTTTTATCAGGTGCTCAAGTTTAACGGTCAAATTTTGAGGGTTGGTTTTATAGAATTGCAGATGGGTGTGTGAAGGGAGGAATTATTTCGTGCGGACACCGCATGCATCCTGGCCGTAGATCACGGTGATCTACGGTCAGGATTAGATTATTTCTGTTTTTTTATATAAAAAAAAAAATTTAGGTAGGGCCCATCGAAATACATCGGGACCGTAGATCAGGTATTCCGTTTTAAAAAAATTAGGTAGGGCTCACCGAAATACATCGGGACCGTAGATCAGGTGATTTACGGTCCGGATCGGACACCGCACGCAAGCTGTATGAAATAATTTTTCGTGTGAAGGAGGTTGTTTTGAGAAATAGGATTGGTTTAAAATAATGCCAAACTGTGTGGTGAAGGTCATCATTATCCATGAAATGAATACGTTCGGCCATAGCTGCTTAAAGGTAAAATTCGAAAATTGAAATGGCCAATTAGGTAAATAGGGCGATCTGTTATGATCCGTTTTAAGGGCTGCGTGGAGGATTTACGGGAGATTTAAGATTTAATCTAAATTGACCCCATCTGGATACTTAATTTTTTGGATTTACTTATTTTTGATTTCACTCATTCTTGAAGGAAATCCCAGATTTAGTAAATTCGCCGGATTTAACTGCTTTAGTGGAACAAAGCCATCAAAGGGAGGTTTAAGATTTAATTTTAGCCTGCAAGGGCCTCAAGTTGCCATTTCTAGCGCTTGGCAAGCCTCACCACAATTCCCTCTGGTAAGGTTTCAGGTTATGATACATGGATCCTTCTATTAAGGAGACATCTGAGTTAAATAATAATAACAAAAAAGGATAAATTTATCTTAAATTAGTGAATTAAAAATTTTTTAGAAAGTATTTTTTGGTTGTACATATAAAATATGTCTGCAAGAATCTCAAGAAAGATGAACGGTTTAGGAGGAAGAAATGACTGATCGAACATAGCTGATTGACGATTGTTACAAGCTAGAGGGGCCTTGTCGGGTGATCGATGAAACGTGTCAGGAGATTCCCATAGAGCAGTGATCAACGCTCAGGACGATCAAGAAAAAGCTTCTTTTCAGATTAAATATCGATTGGGTCTAGGCTTACTAGACGATCGACGAACTATTATCGATTGAATCAGTTCTCTGATCTTATTACATTTGGATAACTTTGTATTTACTAAAAAGTCTTTCTGAAAAGTCAATGACCAGTGAACTAATATATAATGAGATCTATGCCTCTAAATAGGAGGTTTATGATATGAATAAAAGTCAGACTCTCTTTACTATTCTTAAATGTACTCTCTCTATATCTCTCTCTCTCCTACAGAATGCTCTAAACCTTGGGCGTGTTACCCGAACATTCCCAGATTCAATATCCTTTAAGGTGCGGCGAGCGTGGAAACATGTCGTCAACAAGCAGAGGAGACTCGCAACAACAAGGAGAATCAAGTCAGAAGAATGTGGTGGAAGCAACATGCACTAGGGAGTACATGGAAGAATTCGTTCAACAAGGCCTGCAAGATTTGAGAATTCAGATCACCAACCAAATGTCGGGACAATTTCCGGAGGTGCTCAGAGCTGTGGCTGCCTTAGGAGCAATCCCAATCCCAGAAGGAGAACTGGCTCAACGAGGAGCGCTAAATCCCCCGCAAAGAGTACCACTAGTAAATAATGGTGGAAGAACACTCCACCTATAGGAGAAGCCTGACGACGGGTTGTACCAATATAGCGCGGGATCAGCCCATGTTGAGGAGAGGAACTGACCATCGCGGATCAAAGCATGGAGGCAGCCGAAGAATGCCTTCTCTCTACAAATCTCAGGAGCTGAACCCCCGAAGAAGTTCAAGATGTTTGTCTTAGAATCATATAATGGACGGTCTTATCCTAACAACCATCTTGCGTCGTTCGAATTGTAGATATGCCTGTTCAAAATTTATGATGCTCTAAAGTGTAACCTTTTCTTCACAACATTGAGATCAACAACACTAAGATGGTTCGATGGGTTCCCCATGGGGGTAATCAATTGTTTTGCGACGTTCTTGAGACTCTTTCTATCACAGTTGGTCAGTGTTGTGAGGCCTAAGAAGAGAGCTTGATCTTGTTGCAACTGATGCAGGGAGATAACGAGAGCTTGCGATCATTTATCGCACGTATCCAGAGCGAAACACTTGATGTCAAAGATCTAAAACCCGATATGGTCCAACCTGCATTAACACAAGCAGTGAAGTTGGAAAGATTTCGTTACGACCTCGAACTCACCGAACCACAGAGGTTGGCCGAACAGTTGGAGATGAACAACAAGTACATCGTCGCCTGTGAAAATGCCCAAGAACCCGCCGAGCAAAGATACCATAAACAACCATCGCAAGATAACGAAAAACAACTCTACAAAGCACACGACCGACAGTACTCCCACGCTACGAGAACCGCAATGTTAACAACCCCATCCATCATCACGAAGATCAAGGAGGCATGTAGAGGCCCCACATCAACGATACGTTGAACCACCACCAATACCATGATTTTTGTGTAGCTCCTTTCTTTCAAAAGTTCTCGATGTAATGAAGGAATTTATTTTTTACATACATAGTATCCAACAGGTCTGGGCTTAAAATTTCAAAATCTCTCGAACAATATTTTATTCGCTTATTTTTTATACTCGTGGAACTGATGCTGTCGTGCTCCGGGAACTAATATTGTCACACTCGAGGAAATGACACTGTGAAAAGAGACTTATGGGATGTATCGACACCCTTCTAAGCTCCATGAGGGATGCATAACTGATTTTCCTGCGCCCACATTACAAAGATTAGCACTATGTTAAGCTCCATGAGGGATGCACAACTGATTTTCCTGCGCCCACATTACAAAGATTAGCACTTGACAATGACAAGCGTTGCGTGGGGTCCACAAACGATCGTCCTACTCGCACATTACAAAGTTAGCACCCGACAGTGACAAGCTCCGCGAGAGGTGCGCAACCGATCGTCATGCGCCCAAATTATAAAGTTAGCATCCGCAAGCGACAAGCTCCCGAGGGATGTTTGACGATCATTAGAGGCCTATGGGACGTATCGAAATCCAACAACGACAAGCTCCGCGATGAGTGCACAAAAAATCATTTTGCGCCCATGTTATAAAGTTAGTAGCTGATAGCGACATGCTCTACGAGCGGTGTCTAACGATCGTCAGAGGCCTATATGATATATCGACACCCGACAACAACAAGCTCCGCGAGGGGTATGTGAACGATCGTCCTATGCCCGAATTATAATGCTAACACCCGCCAATGATAAGCTCCGCCAGGGGTGTGTAAATGATCGTCCTGTGCTCAAACTATAACATTTACACCTGACAACGACTAATTCCGCAAGAGGTGTGTGGATGTTGCCTATAAAAAGTAGGTCAGAGCATTTCTAATGCACATAGAGGCATACCCTCGCCTTGCTAACTAATAATGACATGAAGAAATTACTCGTAAACTAGAACAGTCATTGAATACAAGAAAGAAAACGCAAAGAACTAAACCCTCT